ATGCAGCTCTTTTGACCCTAGTGACTACCACTGACGAAAATTTACTAATCAAGTTGTGTCGTAGCGTTGTCACTGAGCTTAGTGGCTATATTGTATAACTTGATCAGAAAGCTTCCCACAGTGTTAAACACTGTCTTGACGGCTACGCCTTTCCCCTAATGGAGAATGATTGGTATATAAAGTGCCATTAATTTTGGTGGTTCTTGGTTATCTGAGTCGTACGGTTTAGCCGTAAAGCTTTCATTGCTGTCAGAGCATACGAATTTATTGGGTCGTTTATTCAATGGCAACAGCTACCATTTATACGACAGGTGGTTCCTGTGTATCATCAAACTATTGAATGACTCTTCAGTTTTTTATGCAGAGTTATTGTATTATGGTGTAAGCATCTGTATTTAGTAGTAGCATCTTATTGACATTCTGAAACTACATTGAAACCACCATATTTATTAACGGTATTCGCCTAAATTACGGTTGAACTTCATTTAATTTACCATGTACTGAACTTACAATGGTCACTTACAAAGGAGTTAACTGTTTAGTAACGATGGGCAGTGGCTAGCAGTGGAATCCAGCATGCTGTTTCTTTGAAAATGTATACCGTTCAGGCATACAACTTATTCCATGAATACCCAAACTATATGCTGGTGTACAACAACGGAAAGATTCTATGTACATTTTTGATATGTACAGAGATATGAATCAATAAATAAGACAATGCTAACAACTAGTTCAGTCATCAAAAAGAAAATTGGACGACAGTACCATATCCTTTCAACTCTCATTCAGGCTTCATTACATTCAAGAGTTCCATTAAGTCTGATTCACGTCAGTGGCACTTAATCCCTTGATAATGCTAAAATATTTATATTGTATCATACTGTATATTACATTTACATTCATACTACTAATTGCTATATTTACCATCCATCATTGGTGAGTACATCTGCACTTCTACCATTTAGTTATCCCCTCAGTATTTGTATAGTGAGATTCAATGAATGACCCAGATTACTTTCATTTAGAAAAAACAACACCATTTTCATCACTCTCTCAACCTCAAATTTAATCGTCCTAAATATCAACACCTCATATACACATTAATACTCAACCGACTAAAAAGCATTCACCTGTTCCACATATCTGAGTCTGAGTAGTGATCACCTCCAGTTCATATGTAACAGTGAATGAATGAATGTAATCGAAATTCCGTTCGACAACATACCCTCTGATGATTTTGTACACAAGTAGTATTGTGTTGTATTAGTACACTCACTACACAGGTATAAGTCTCCACCACGTTAGTTCTCTGTTCTCCCTTCTCAAGTCATGTGACAACTGTGTGTGTGAGTGTATGTGTGGCGTGAGTATTTATGAACCACCTTCATTGACTGATCGATTCAACACTTCTTCGCACCAGGGGGGGGGCTTATTAACGTGACTGATCAGGAGCCTTTATGATGCACAGTTTTTTTCGTAGTTCCACAATGAAACGAAAACTGATCATCACTCTCCAAAGATTCCAGAAAACTCTTAACTGATGTGTATAGTTTATTAACTGGGGTATTGCACATAGCGTTTGAAGGTCATTGAGAAAATGACTATTGATGTTATGATCAGTTAGGAAACTGTAATCAGAGGAGCTTTTGTACACTTGTTACTCTTCCTCTTTTTAAATAGCTGAAGAGTTAAGAGCATACCGGTGCAGGATCTAAAGTTCAACTTACATTTCTCAGTGTCAAGATATATCGCTAAGCTATATGATGAAGCAATTTTGACTGAGTATCAACTTGCAATGCTAGGTATCTTGTCTTAATAGCATTTGTGCCCATAATAAACGAACTTGCGAATACCCACTGAGAAAAACGTGTTCTGGGTTAAGGTAGTCAACTGAGGTTTAAAAGAATTCAACTAAGCTTGATATTAATAGACTAATGCAAATGCTACACGAGAGTTTCTATACAAAAGCATCTCAGTTCACAAGTTTATTTTTGAATTTTCGTTCTGCAAATAAACAGTTTGTCTGCAGCTTTATTTCTTCTAATGAGAGTACTGAACAGAACTTGGCTCGACATTAATGGTACTCTGATGGCACCAAACTGAAAATCACGTCATCCATGACTTTTAAATAAAACATCATAGAACATTCAGGTTATTGAATTTAAGCATGTGTACTTTCAGAATAGTAAATTGAATAAACGGAGCAAATCAAACATTAAACACTGGGATGTGTTGCCTATGTCACAAATATGGCACTGACCGAAGTCACAGAGTGAGTTCCAGTTTGATCTGATGTAGAAGTCACAAATAATACCTTGAACTATGAAACACTTATATCGTATTTGAGTATAAATATTTAAATGTTACTCTACTGGCTATAGAATGATTATCATTTTGACTATCTGAGATAACCATGGTTTGACAGACTAGTATTTATAGTGAGTGATGACTGAAGGTGAAATGAAACTTTGGACAGCAACCGGATTCGAACCAGCGACCACCTGATAGCTCAGTTGGTAGAGCATTGAAGCGGGGACCCCAGTGGTCGCTGATGTAACGGCATCATCTCCTTATTTATTACTTAAGCTAGAGACTGATTATTATTTTATGCTTTAACAATCAGTATATTCATGTAAAAAGTAGTTGGAATAAGTGCCAAATTCAGGCTACCGAAATGAATGACGTAGAAATATTCTTCGTTATTATATTCATTCATTTGGGAATTCTACATTAATTAGAACTTATCAAACCGATAAGTCAGATAGACTATTCATCATAACAGTTAGAATTTTTTTTATTGCTAGAAGAGATCACATATACCTAACTCAAAGAATTTTTTTTCGAAAGAACTAATCAGTGGGAAAAGAGATTCAGTGCAAACTTATACCCTGATAAGACATTTTATTCTGAATAACGGTGGGTAAACAACATGCATATAAATGGGTTTAAACTGAGTTGATTAAAGTTACTATGAAGTGAAACAACCATTAGAAATGAAATGACCATAAGAATTAGCGTCTACTTCTACTTTGAGGAAGAATTTTTATAAAAAGGTTTGAGAAGTTGCATTATTTCTCTCTGAATTCGTTTCACAGTCGAAATCACTCACTACAAGGAAGGTACATTCAATTGGCAAGCGTTCCGAATCCCACTGCTTGCGTATTACTCATTACCACTATAAAAGTCCACTGAAAGTACTGGGAATATTGACATACCTGCACAGTAGACCATATACCAATAGTTCCTGAGCAATTCGATCCAATCCGCGCTGGAGGCTTACAAGTTATAACATCAAACCAATCATAAAATTGGAAGGTTTTTACCGAACTTTTGTTTTAAATAATCCATTATATGAATAAGAAATGTAGTTTTTGATTGTACACTAATTAAGCGAACAATGACTTGAAAAATAATTGTAATAATAGACAGGAACTGTGTTTCTCAACATTATTCATAGTAGTCAGTAAATAAAAGCCATAAATCTAAATTTAAAGTATTTTTGAGTTCATAGTATTGAATACTTATTTTGTTTGAACGTGGAAGATATGTCAGTAAGTTGTGAATCGTCTCAGCTGGTCACAACTAACTAAGCACAACTTGAGTAACTAATATAGTTGTCATATATGTCTAGTCCTGCTGTAATAATGATATCCACTTATTAAAAGGGTGGTAGGTACATTTTTCTTTTACTTTGACGTATCTTCTCAACTGTGTGGTTTATGTATGTAGTTGATCTTTTGTTGATGTTTGCCTCTTGATAAAGTTCTCCCATTTCCAAATAATCAGAAACTATTAATGATCATAGGATTTTGAGATGTTAAAGAATAATGTGAACCTTAGGAGGATTATTTCAATGGTATGGTGAGCTGAATAGTAATTTCTGGCTAGTTTATCAGGTATGATTTTAAAGAATATCTTCAAAAGTTTTTGCAGTAGTGTGTTCAAACGTTCTCATGTTATGATTCAAACTCTGCACCAATGTTCACTTCACTCTTTTAAAAAGAATAATTCAATCCAATAAAAACAACAGAAAATTACAGGTATATCAATAACTACTACCCTCTGTATAAGAAGTGACTATCGTTCATCTGTGGCACTATGGATAACGCCTTGACGTTTGCAGCAATGAGTATGAGGTTCGAGCCTCAGTAGGAACAACATCACTTATAGCATAGCACTAATCTAAATATACTGGATGAATTCAATAGATTTTACAGGGAATTCACAATTATAAAGCAAAGCAGACGAATGTAACCCAGTTGAATTTGGTATTTTACCTTCTATTTGAAAAGTAAATGAATTCCAACTCGAACAGATATTAATTTTCATGGATACGAATCGAGTTTTAAGTACTTCGTACCATGACTGCATTAGAATAATTTCACTTCCATTGACTTTACAAGTCATTACCAACTGCTGATGACTTCAACTACATGTCATGGCATTGGATCATTTAACCGTATAGAGTTTGTATAGTAATTTTCTAATCTCGTATTTACTTTAAAAGCTGACTGACTAAAAATGGTTATTGCTACCAAGTGAACAGTCTGTTTTCCACTGAAATATTACCCTAAATATGTTCTGAAAAATTTCACGTCTTGGTAACTACTTTATAGCTTTATGACAATTATAACAACATGCTAACCTATTTTTGAACCAGGTTTTACAACCACTTTATATGAGATGTTGAACAGCACTGGCATAATCAGAAATCGTACACTTTCTAGCCAAATTTATTCCAGGTTGTTATTCATCGAAGACTGACATCAGTTGGAGGAACAAATTTATTCATACAAAATAACATGAATAAGAATCTAGAGGGTTTTAGTGATACTTAATGGGTTACGACTTTTCTATTTGGGCTCAGCTGTCAATGATGAAGTTACGTTACATTTTAGGTAAGAATTTCTAGTTTTTATGATTCACTAGGCAACTTAACATATTAAGAATCAAGTATAAACTATGATAAGTAGAAAAAAAGTAAATATTGTTCTTCTTACCAAGCATGATCTCCTTATTACAGTCATATCTTGCGATTCCAAAAGCAGGTTGTCCACCGGGATCACAACGATCCACAGTAAATTCCCAGTAATGCACACCTTTGGATAGACCAGTTGAACCAAGAATAACTCTGTCCTCAGATAACTGACTAGTCACAGTACGATTTCCATTTGTTAATAGAATCTCTGGTACAGCAGTAGCAATATCCAAATGAAACCAAGTGACTAAAAATTAGAAAAAACATAATGAAACCAATTAGGAATGTATTAATTACTCTTCAGTTTAGGTAACTTATCGTCATGATAAATCAGAGAATAAAATCAGATGCTTGAAAAAGGATTAAGAAGAACATAAGAAAATCATATTTAAGTAGAGCAACGCAAACTTTTTATGAAGTAATCGGATCCTAAATCTAATTGGCTGAATTTTCGTACATCTTTAGTTAATTTGAATTTCACTAGTTGATATTTCTGTCTCATAGGCGGCCATGAAAACTCATAAGCATTACCTTATTACAGCAAACATTTTTAATTGGTGAGTAGCTGAAGTCTTCGTTTATTGTTTTAAACACTTCAGTGGGCTGTTAAATAGGAGTTTTATTTGGTTGGCTTCATTGACGTAGAACATTATGCCTACTGGACTACTTATATTATGAGTTTATTTCTTGCTGAGAATTCATAAGAAAAAGCAACACTAAAACATTAAATCATTTTATTATGTCTACGAAGCAGAATACCTGCTATAAATATCGAACCTCTTACAGTTCACCTAATCTGGTATGCAATACATTTTAAGTTAATCTTAAACTGATGAAAATGACTTCTAGCATGGTCATTGAACGAAAGTTATACAAACTGCGGTAATGTAAGAAGTGTGCCTGGTCGCTGATATGAGAACTAAAGGAGTTGTAGTCTGCAGCTCATTTCCTACTAAAGCAGTTTGAAAATTTACGGGATAAATATAGCAGCTGTAATAAAATGCGTAAAGTAATTTGGAATATTGACAATATAATATCCTTTCAAGTTGGCACTCACTATGGACTGACATCAGTTGGAGGAACACTGGAAACTTGGGAGCACTGGACAGCTGTATCATCTAAGTAGGGGTCTCCTCAGCAGTGAGCACACATGACCCTGCCTCACCACGGATCAAGACCAGTACCTTTAGGTTCCACTGCCAGCACGTTAGCATTGAGCCACAGGATGGGAATTTATTTGCCCATACTTCCAACTTCTTTCAATTCACCACATACAGCGACCATCACTCAGTGTTATCGTCGAGTATTTGTACTCATGGCCACCAAATTTGCCCCATTGGTCACGATTTCTCACTGGAATTTCGTGAACAATTCGAAGCTAATCACCAATGCTTACTAGATGAATTTAATTTCGTGGTTCGTAGGGATTTAGAGACTTTCCAAGTTGGTATTCATCATGGACTGACATCAGTTGAAGGGACATTGGGAACCTGGGAGCACTGCACAGCTGTTTCGTCCTAGTATGGGATTCCTTAGCAGTGTGCAACCTTGACCTCGCTAGGGATCCCAGGTTTCTAATGTAGCTTCAACTGATATCAGTCAATGATAAACACGAACCTGAAAAAACACGTAATTCTCACAAACCCCAAAATTAAATATAATGTCCGATTCCCCTACAGTCGACTGAATTCATCGACACCATAACATATGAAACTAGTTCCGATCTTCCAACAAATATGATTGATTGATCAAGAAGCTTACGCCTTAGACTAGCAGACTTGTATTCAATAACGGCGTGATAATTAGAAGTGAAAGGAAAACATGAGTGCATAGAAATCTTTTCATATGAAGATATAAAACACAAAAGAAGGTGATGAAAACATAATGAGTATTCCAATAAGCAATATTTATTCACCTTTTATAATAAACATATTTATTTTAAACATATTCTGTCATTGTCCTTTACACTATCAAGCTATAAAAAAAACTTCCAACCAAACTTGGTTAAACCTAAAACACAATCAGAACAATGGTTTGCTTTAAACTGTATCCATCAGGAAGAAATACAGCTAGTAAGTTTGCGGCTAATTAAAATGATTTTAATTTAGATATTTGTGAAGATTTATTCATTGATTTTAAGTTGGTATTTACCATAGACTGACACCAGTTGGAGAACCATTCGAAATCTGAGAGGGCTGGACTGCTGTTTCATCCCGGTGTGTGACTCCTCAGGAGTGAGCAGCCATAACCTCCCATTGCTATGAGTCAAACCAACCATTTTCAGGTTCCTCGATCAGCACGTTACTATTGATACACTAGGTCGAAATCCAATGGTCTACATTTCCCTACTTTTCTCGGTTCACGATATAGTGTAACCTCCATACAATATCGTCCCTGAGTAACTTTTCTGTTGTCCGAGTTTGTTTTCGCTATCAGTAATGACTTTTCATTAGAACTTTGGGATAGGTAACTTCGAAGCAAATCATCAGTGAACATTAGACAGTGATTGAGTTTAGAGGCTTGCGGAAATTTATCGATTTTAAGTTGGTATTCGTCGCTGGTCATTAAATTCCGACGCAATGACTCAATGGTAACGTGCTCACCTCGGAACACGAAGGTTCTGAGTTTGATTCCTGGCAGAGTCGTGTGTGCATACTGCTGAGGAGTCTTGTTCTACAAAGAAACAGTTGTCTAGTGTTCTCCGGTTTTCAGTGGTTCTCCAATTGACATCGGTCTGAGAAGAAAATGATTTTATGATTATAGAACTGACTTCAATATCAGTCAGTGAAGCTGTATGCTTTTGAATTTATATTGTGTAATGAAATTTCGTAGTGTCCTCAGTAAGCTATACTATAAAGGTATTCTGACATTCACTGAGTCTTTGTGATTGGTGTCGCTGCTTCTGGGTGTGGTGAAAATCTATGGCCTGTATAGTTTGAGGATGGAGACATCAATTTCTTCCTAGAGGACTTCGAGTTGGTCACGGAGCTGACGGGGGTCCGAGATCTAGAGGCGAAGGTCGAAGTACTGGACAGGTTGCTGAGGGGTAGAGCGAAAGCAGCATATGACGGCGTGGAACGTGTGAGGGAAGCAGACTTGACGGAGGATGGTTGGACGTCTGGACAGGGAACTGGTTTGTGTTCGCCGTTCAGGTGATTAAACTACTTAGACGAGCGCTACCTACTAGACGAGGATGCGTAAAAGAGTTGCTGGCTGCACGGCCTACCGACTGTCCTCGTCCACCAGTTACTACCAGTCACATCCGCTAACAAAGTTTGGAACGGTACTCCTTTAATATGATACACCCTGCACTAAACCAGTCATTTGCAAATAGGCTTCCTTATTCTTCTGTTCCTCTCTTGATCTGCTCTTCATACATTCTTATCAGTAGCATCCACTTTAATACGCCTGCTTTATCCCTTGCGTTGCTCTTACAGAAACCTCACCCATCGCCGATAATTCCCCATGATTCCTACCACCCTCTCAATATATACTACTTATATCCATTGTTATCAGCAACGCCTGCTACAGTATGAGCCATAGAAATCAATGTTTAGCCATTCTACCAAATATCTTATTGTTAAAGTGACATAATGTAAGGCAGCATTCAAGTAATTATCATCATTCCCATTTTTTGTTAGCTTTTTATTTCAGAATAAAGTTATAATGATGATCTATTCAATAAAATATGCATAGCAAAAACAGAAAGATATGACATTTTCATAAGATGACTCATCATTTCAATTTTATTCTTTAAAGAAATTTTATAGAACATGTGAAAAATATCAAATAATCATTACATATTCTCTTAGGTATTGTTCATTTAAACAATGCATAACCTGACCTTTCATGCTGCCTTTTGCATTGGTTTTCAACCTATTGTTTATACAGACTTTAGTAATTTCATGAAAATAGCTTTAATTCTTTTATATATGAACGTTGAGTGCATATTTTTCTGCTAGGTAAAAACCACTTGATATCCTTAAATTTCTTCATATCAGATATATATATATATATATATATATATATATATATATATATATAATCCTCAATCGGATAGGTTAGGGTAGAATATTTACTGATTTGTATAATGTGTCTTGGCAGCAAATACCATGGATAGATATCAGTCAGGAGAAAATATGAGATGCTATAAGGATACTTTTCTTGATATAGGACTCTTTGAAAGTTTGCTTGTGATTCATTATTGAGTAGAAAATTGTTAGGTCTTGTAATGAACACATTACCGTTTAGTTTGTAGGTCAGGTTTTCAAGAACTTTCTAGCTGTTTTCTTTTTTTACTTGTGATTAAAATTCAAAATAGGTTTTTCATTGGTAATCTATGCAGTTTTTGTAGTTCTGATTAGATTTTACGTTGTGACATGACCACTTTCACATACAAAGCTGATCTTTATTTGTTTTAAATAGATTTACAACCATTTTTTTGTTGTTGGAAATTTGACTTCATGATGAAATAAATAAAACTGTCTTAGCTCCCACATATCTTTAATTTTTCTCTGAATATATACAGCTGTAGAGGCAAGACAAGACACTGATAATGTTTTACGCTTTATTTTTTTCTACCAAATATATTAATCTTGTTATGAAACATTCATAAATCATTGCCAACTTAAGAAAAATTAAACAACTCTTATCTGATGAGCTGAAATTATTTGTGAGATGAATAACAGGGATTGTTTGTAATTAGTCGGATGGAGGCGACAGGCAAGAAGTGGAACATCAGTTTCGTGTATGTTACAGATCCGCCTTGCTGATGTGTGCCAAAAAGCATGAAATTTAAGTCAAGGGATTTCTGTCGATTATCTCTATCCAACTAACATCCATCTCAGTGTATCTCAGTGATAAGTCTCCTAGCCTGGTGACTACACCACAAAATGATCGATAGAATTCGATCAGACTTAAAGGATTAAACAATATGAAGTTGGTTTCCCTCCAGTGACCCGTCAACGTATTATTTGCAACTATTTGATTATTATAATTACAATAAATTATTTAGTTTAATTGAGACATAAGAAAGAACTCGTGTGGAATTTGATTGTATTACCGATAAAATCTAAGTTGAACACTATACTTCCTGTCTCATATCATCTTTCAGTATAGATCTTTATAAAAAATTGAGGTTTGCCCCAAAAGAATGATTTTTACACATTAAATGTTGCATGCGTTAGCTCTGCAACAGATCACTGATAGCTCTCAGGGTCTAATTGTCCAACATGAATCTTAAGGACT